GGCTCAGTTGGAAATGGTGAGCTTCGTGTGAACTGGAAGCTTTTGAAACATATCTTTTAATGGTCTGCATTGTGGGTGATAAGATTCAGAAGCTGGAAAAAAGACACATGCAAACTTATTTATATGATTTGTTTATTTATTAATTGTTCATTACTTTTTTAGACTCTAAATCAGAAGCAGTTAGAATGTGACAGAAGTTTACGTGAACGGAAGAAGATGGCTGAGGAAGTTGAACGTTTAATGGCAGAATTATGCAACAAAAAAGAGCAACACAGAGCAGAAACGTTAAACCTGCATGATCGCATCAACATTTTAGAATCTAAAATTACAAATACAATTGCAGAGAAGAAGAGTGTTTCTGATCAGAATGTGCTGAGCATGAGAGAGTTAGTATCAAGTTCTTCATGTATAAAAAAGTGTAACTGCAGAAATTTCTTCTTTGTTTGTCGTTAAGTTTATTTTCACATCTTATATTTTCCTTTTTGTTCTTCCATCAGATACGAACAGCAAAAAGAGGAATTGTTCCACAGAATACAGGAACTGGAACAGCGTCTGAGTACTTCACGTAGCGAGTGCGAGGCCTTGCGTTTAGAATGTGAAGAGATTAGAAGTGCAAATGCTGATGCTACAGCCACTTTAGAAAGGGCGAAAGAAGATGGTGAATCCAGCGAAAAGTTTTTAAAGAGACAGTTAAGGTTAATTAATTATTTTCCATTGTCTTTTTCTCATTGACCATATTCATTTATATTGCTCTTTCTGCTTTCTTATTATTTCATATTTATACCAATAAATTTGCACATTTTATTTAGAAATGTATATATATTCCATGAAGATAAACCTTGCTTTGTACTTTGTTTACACTTGAATTTTTTTAATGTATGAAATGTTACATCATAATATTGAATATATATAATGTGTGTGTTTTCTTTCGTTGATTTTCATCCATAAAATTATGCATGTGTATTAAATCCACATAATATTTTCTTCACATTTCTTTCTTATTTTTGGTTCCTTCTTTAGTATTTCTCTTTCTTTCCATTGAGATTATCTAATACTGTGATAGTTGTATTCATAAATAGAGTCGTATTAATCACATACATATAACAGAAACTCCTCACATCAAATTTGCATGAATAAACCCACACATAAGCATATATATATTGACAAGCACAGAGCGAAAGAAGGAATTATGAAGAGTCCATGTCATTTTCCTTTTCCTCATCACAGACTGAAGACAGAGGAGCTTGAAGAATTATCATCATCCAGCAGAGTGCGTCTTGATGCCCTAAATTCAACACACCAAGAAGTTGTGACACAGCTGCAGGATAACATAGCTAGTCTCCAAGAAAGCTACACAAGGTAAAAAGGAGGTTTCTTATATGTATATAAGACTGTACTATTGTTTCCCCCATTATACAATTTTTTTGAATGCTGACAAAATTGGTATGCGAAAGGACAGACATTTAGTCAGTTTGTAGAATCACAAATGAGTCCTTATTTCTGTACTGCAAAGAATGTCACTGTGATTTATGGTAATCTTGTATATTTAAAGGCTACAGGTGCAAATGAATGATCAAAGAAAAGAAAGTGAACTAAAGATGTCTGAGGTCAGTCGACGCCTGCAGGAGTGTCAAAGCAAGAGTCAGCAGTTGGTGCGTTCATTGCACGAAGCCAGTACAAACTTGGCCATTGCTAGAGATCTCAATTCTCATTATGAGAAAAGGTAGGTTATGCGTTCATTTTCATTGATACAATGGAGACAAATAATTACAAAATGCTTCCTAGGTGATCAGAAATCTTTCTTTTCTCTTTCTTTCAGAATATTATTTTATGTATGCCAGACATCTGATGTTATTACAAAGAAAAAAAATTAGGCTTTTTTTTTTTTCAGTCTTAAATAATCCATTTTTACATTATACAAATTAAATACTATTACAACAGTTCCTTTGCATAACCAAAGCCATATTGAAAGATTTTTGAACTTACAAGATTTAAAATTTAATTTTGATATTATTTTTTTTTTTGTTTTTTCATACCCAAGTTTATTATGCAAAAATTAATCATTTGAATGTATATATATGACTGCCAATAAATATATAGGTATATATTGAAGGTAAATCTAGTGTATTGAGAATGAAAAAAAATGGATATATGTGAAATTGATGTTACTATTGCCATTACCACTGTTTCTCTAATTTTTCTCTAATATAATTTTCTTTTTCACAAGGATTCAAGATGTAGAAGATCGTCTCCGTGCATCAGAGAAAAGGTTTGTTACCCTAAGAAGTGGATCCAGGCAAGATGAAGGATTATATAAGCCTACTTCTTGATATAGGCCAGTATTTATCTCGTATTGTTGCTTTCATGAACTAAAAATTGCTTTATGACAACCGTGTTACAGATTGCTCAAAACTTTTATGGAGTGATAAGCTGAATTTAGAACACATATTATAATATATTGGCAGAAAAATTTACTGGACACAGGATAGGTTACCTAAAGTTCTAGAGATCTGAAGGTGAAATTCAGATTTTTGAATTTGTTTCATCTTTCAGTAAAACTATCTTGTGTATTGTGGTTATTAATGCCCGAGTGACCGAGCTGTTGGAGTCCTTTATTTCATGATTGAAAAGAAGTCAGTTTTTTCGACATATTTTTTTCTGTATGTTAAAAGTGTATCTTGCTTTTAACTGATACATATTTTATCATTTTAATATTTTCTAGTTGTTCTCTTATATTTATTAATTATGTAATGATGCTTTTGTGATATTGTTTACTTTAGAAGTGCATAACAAGATACCAAATCAGACTTATAAAATGAGTCCACTTTTATTTATACATTTATAAACGTTTTTATTAAAAAGATAATCTATTTAAACACTTAACTATCCTTAACTGCACAAATGAACCACAAATCTTAGAAAAAAATCTTCCCAGCCACCCGTAATAAAGGTAGGAGAGGTTCCAGTTCGTGATAAATGTCCTTATTCACAAAACCGTCAATGGGGAAATGATAATCTTGGACACTGATTTCAGTATTTAATATATCTCCATTATGATATCAAACTAGGAAATACAGTAAGAGCTCTGTAGTCATTAGCTGCACAATCAATACATCACACACCTTATACTTATAATTAATATATGTATATTCTTTTAAGATACAGACCATAATCACAAAATGAGAAGCAAATTGAATAAGCTGCAATCTGCAGTACTGGACAAACTAAAGGCATGCTTGATTCTAACAGAATGAACTTCCTGCTTAACTTTTGAAAGTATTAACAAGTTTTAAGTATCTAAAGACTTCTTGAACACTTTGATAGCACTCTGAAAAAAGCAAACATGCTTTAAACGTCCTACAAATTACATGGACTAATCTCAACCCATGATCACCATTTTAGACCTCCAAAAAATAGCAGTCATTTTTATGAGTTATTTCTAATTCTTGAAACTACTGGGCTTAATAAAATTAGGGGAGCTGAGATATGTAAAGGGACCTAAAATTCATTTCTAAGAGTTATTTATAATTCTTTAAACCACCAGGATTAGTAAAATTACGCAAGATATGGAGAAAGCCACCTAGAAATTTGGAGGACGTCATCGGGAAGTTTGGTCCATGTTAAAACCTACAATGAGAAAAGACGAATCAAACTCCAGAATCTGGCCTCTCTTTTGGATAAAATTAGCAAGAAAATGTGAACTATACAGACCTCTTTTTAAGTGTATTTGGATATAACAAGTTTTTTTTTTTTTTTTTTTTCGAAGATCAATAATATACCTCTTTTTAAATTATTATATAGCTTGATATCATTGTTTCTAAAAACAGAATAAGAAGATAATGAGGAAACTAAACTCTTAATATTATTAATTCAAAGTTATACATCTGTTAATTAAAGTCAATTTCCCTATGTTAGATCTTCAAATAATCTGTCAGTATAGGCATTACTTGGCAACTTTTTCTAAAAATATGCTTAAAATTAGCTTTTCCAATACACACTAGCTACATGTCGGAAATCAAAATCTTGCTACAGTTGGTAATAAAAAAATAATAATAATGCACACAAAAAAATATTTCCATACTAACAAAATGTAAATATAAGAAATAATAATAATTACTTTAAAAGAGACAAAGTACTAAATCAGAGCAAGAATGGGGGTGAAATATTAAACCAACCAAAAAAAGTTCTCCAAAAATTGAACTCTGTTCACTTTTCAGTGTACACTTACCAACTTTCAATGAGTGACATGAAGCAGAAATTAGGTACGAAAAAAGAAGGCAAGCCTTTTAATAAATATAATCATTAGCCTTTCTAAAGTTTAACTTTAAAATACTCAGATCTACCATGATAGGCGATTTCACAACCATACATAGCTGTAGGTTTACTCACATGCATTTAAACATACATACAGTTGCTCTGAAGGAATTGGTTAAATAGACTTATATCATTCACATGCATTTAGAATAAGAAGGATTCCTATAAAAAAAAAAAAAAAAAATTTTTTAATTCCTACAGGATATTGAAAATGAAATCTTAATTCATACTTCAGTATTCAGTCAAAACTAACATAGCAAGATCATCAACCTGACGTACAATGTACTTATGAGGTTACCATGTATAGAAAAAAAATATATGTGACTTTACGTTAAAGCAATGATGAAAAAAATAGTTACAGAATAAAATGATTACTTTCTCTATTTGTCTTTCTTTTTGTATTGCATGTAAACTCTGAAATTAACCAATTATATTTTTCAAATTTATGGAATAAACTTAAATTTAGGAGTCAGAAAGTCTTTTAAGAATTTCTTCACTTGCCAACTATGACAATTTGATTATGTGCCTAAAGAGAAAGGGAACATGCATTAATACATACCTACATATATCTATACAAACATTTATACATACACATATACACACATTCAAGGAACATAAATAAATGCACACATACATGCATACACATACATTATATACAAGTATGCATACACACTTATACACACACATGGATGAGTAGATAATTGGGTATTTACTTATATTTCTATTTCTCTTCATTTGATAGAAGTATATAACATAATAGCATGGCTAATGAAATGAGGAGTACAGCTATTCCCCAAATTCAAGACATCTGATATACGTATATTTCTTTCCATAAAATATTACAACTCAGCACAGATTTTACGAAATGCATATAATATAACACAGAATGCCATCCTCTACCTTGAGTTTATGAAACTTTTTTAACTATGGAACTGAATTATTTTTCTACATTCCCTACAAAAGTTATCTTTGACTTTTAAGGCCAGAATGTTCAATAACATAAAATCCTACATTATTTGATAATACAAAAATATGTATTTGAATGTTTTAGTTGAAGAGCAAAATATGCTGGTGTAAGGGAATCAACAGCTTCTAATAACACAAAATTTTGACTGTAATATACTTCAACATCCACTTCAAATACTAGTAATTTGGTTTTATGGAAAAGAATCACATATTGAACTGTCTGCTCACTCATCTAATGTGTAAATCATTTGGTACCTAAATATATTTTTTCTCTCCTGACTGTGTGTGTGTGTGTGTGTGTGTGTGTGTGTGTGTGTGTGTGTGTGTGTGTGTGTGTGTGTGTGTGTGTGTGTGTGTGTGTGTGTGTGTGTGTGTGTGTGAGTGTGTGTGTGTGAGTGCTGTGTGTGTGAGTGCGTGCGTGTGCGTGTGTGAGTGCATGTGTGTGCGTGCGTGTGAGTGCATGTGCGTGTGTGTGCATGTGTGAGTGCATGTGCGTGTGTGTGTGTTGTAACGGAGAATTATTTACATCAAATGAGAGCCCCCACATTACAAGGGGGATTTCCACATGTCTCTGATTTCTATTTACTGGAAGTGATGCCGAATGTCATAAAAAATATCTATAAACTTCTCCTTCCAGAATCTAAATGAATGGGATCAGTTCAATGGAAAAATTATCAAGACTATTACATAATAAGAAATTACTCTTTTTTAATGAAGATCAAAACTTGAAAAAGAAAAATGTATATATAAAAAGTTATGGTTCCTTTAAATCTGCCAATATGTGACTGCACTTATGGTAAGAATTCCTGTTGTAATTTAGGGGCCCTCAATTGCTAAGCATCACTTTTCATTCAATCTTTTAATGTATTATGCAAGATTGAAACGGCATATTTAAGTTTGAAAAAGATTCAGAGGGGCTGACTAACTAAATATCGTGATAGTTAACACAGTGCAAGCATATATTCAGGCCTGTCCACAGGAGTGAGTATGACTGGCGGGCACAACAGAGGGCACTAGTAAATATGATGTCACAGGTGAAAGAACAACGGGGAAAATACTATTTCACCAAGTAGTTTACCCGCCAATTGTGCTCACTGGTGTGGACACGTCTATCGTCATCTATTTTGCCATTTGATAAAAGAAAGAAACAGATCAACAATATCTCGATGTTATAGCTGCCTGAAACTCAATGGTAATCATCAGCCTCCAGTCGCTTTTATAATCCTGTCTACATTGTCACAATTTTTGTCTCTTTATTCCTTCTCTATTTATTTCAATAACATCTTTTATGTCTTACAAGAACAAAGAGTGCCTAATCAGTAGTCTAAACAATGGCACTTGGTTCAGACCTGGAAGCACTGCCTAGCAACATCACTGTGGTATAGTAGTTGAAATTCGTGAACATCCCAGAGACTTATAGTAGGAGAGAGAGAGAGAAAAAAAAATGCTGCTAAGGGTGGAAATATTTTAGATGTAAATGTGTTGTATTGTATTGCAGATGACGATGTTCCAGTATACAAAATACTCAAGTTCAGAAATAATACACCTTATTTGGCAATGAAATTATCTATTAATCTTAATAATCCATGCTAACATGCATAAATTGAATCAAAACAAAAAAAAAAAAAATGGTAGCTTTTCTTTTTATTATTTTTGAAAATACACTCAGACCAATATTTTACAAGGCATTCAATATTTTTAGAGATATTAGCATTATTCTGTCAATCATTTTTAAAAAGTATAGAATAAAATACACATCTAAAGTATATAAAAGTGATGCATAGATCTTTACATACAGATTTAAACATTTTTCTTTTTTTAATTATCGGTGTGCAATAGAAAATATTCAGTGCAAGGGTTTTTATACACTCGCAACAATGCATAATTCTTGAGAATCACTGATTTTCTTGGAAACAAAAGCAAATGCTACATTAACGAAGAGAACCACCTACGTCATCACTCAATGTATCAGATCTAAACAACCTAGTCATCGTTTCACATTATCTTTTCTCCTCATATACACGTCTTTGTCATTTTTATCAAAAGCACTAAAAATATTAACCAAGTAATAGTAAACTTAAAGGTTTTCAAATATCCTTTACTATTCTCCTACAAAAGGAACTCGATCTGTCAGAGAGCAGTATTCACAAATACATATATGAATATCCATAAAGTCCAGTAACTAAAATATGTTTGACAAGTCAACATAGCAACATAAATGTTATTACTATTCCTGAGAGCTATAATATAAAATCATTACATCATACGATTAAACTCAACATATTTTAGTAACTTTTAATGGTACAGATACTACCTCAAAAGAAAAGAATTGTCTGGAAAAAAGTCTTTGCTTTCTTTGTATTTTACAATTAATAAACCAATACTTGAATTGTGACTAGTCTAACGCTGAGTGTGTTGAACCAAGACATAGGCATAGCAAGTGTTCGGATTTTTCATAGTGCTACCAAAAGCCATACTGAAACTTTTACCTCCACATTATTTAAGCATTTATGAGAAGTTTAATAAATTAGTAAGTTATTAAGCTCCATTAAGCACATACATCATACCCAGAAGTTATGTACATGGTAGACGGATGCATTCATGATTCCCATTTGCAACAAGGTAATTCTTTACAACAAAAACTCTGGATAATTTATATTCATATAATTCTAAGAATGATATAGCAGTTTTGTCTTTGCTTTTTTTTTTATAAAAGCAAAATAAGTCTTTATTCGTTCAGGATTTTGATATTCTAATGCACTTCCAACTATTATTCAAATTTCTCTAATAAAATGGTATCTATAATACAGCACAGTTTTTCATTCAATAAAATTTGCACTGCAATTCCAGATACTGAGTTCAGGACCATTTGCATGGCAAGGGAAATCAAATGTTTGTTTGTTTCAAGCAGGAGGGCTTCAAATTATCTACACGAAATTCAATAATCCATTTTTAGGGGTGAAATGAGGATAAAATAATATTATGAACCAATGGCTTAACTCTACCTACAAAAAGGGAAAGAAACAATACAAAAATAATAATAATTAATAAATATATCTATAACATATTACAAAACTATACTCGTTATCTACAGAGAAAAAAAATTCTATAATCAGTTCAACACTCAATAGCCGTCGTAAGGCAAGATACGAGAATGGGTAACATTCAAAAAATACACTATTCATTTAATTGATACCTGAATTAATATCTACCTGTTCTAATCACTTTCAGGTACATAGCAATATGGTGTATATATTTTAAAATTCAACTTGTAAAACCTTCAGGGGAATTGTACTGGACATGTTTTTTTTGTTTTTTGTTTTTTGTTAATATTCCCCAACATAAAAACTGATGGCAGGATTTTTAGCAAGTGCTCTCAACACAAAGCACTCCTGAAGCTGCATCACAAAGACTGCCCTTCTTTGAGAATCATAGAAAGGGGTTAGTACTGAGACAACGTTTGTAGTGTGTTTCTCTGCTTTTCTGAACGTTAGACTTCCACTCTGACTTTGAAGCTGCTGACAGACCGACATACAGACTGGCTAACTGGAGCACCTGACTGACTGGCTGACTGGAGCAGCTAGGTCAGTCAGTAACTCCAGAGGCCACATGGCAAGTTTAATGTTCCAGAAAACTTGACATAAATCACAGAGATGAAGGTCAATAATTTTCTTTTCCTTTTGTTTTATAGATACCAAAGCAGACCAATTTTCTCTCTCCGACAATGTTCAAGGAAAGCTGCAAATCATTGACGTAAAAGTCTGAAGAGAATATTTCTTAAGCAATTGACATTCTGTTTCTCTCTTTCTTAGCTGCACCTTAATATGACTGCAACCTATATTTCTTTAATCCACCAAATATGTATAACTAGCCATAGTATAACATTATATAGAAATTCACATCTCTGGTATTATAAATATTCACTATTAGATAGAGTAATATATACTACTAAAAACTAAATATTCAACCTATTTTTTCTAATGGTTAATGTACAATTTTGTTTTTGTTTCTGGAAATATGCATGTGTGTAATCTTTATCTAACTATAAAATACAGTGTTCTACTCAATCTTCTAAAAAAGATAATGAATAAATAATAAAATCTAAAAAAAAATGAAAAGTTAAATAATACCAACCAAAAAAGAAAATATAACAAAAAATATACAATCATTCCTTTTCCTACAATAAGAGTGGACTATCTCTTTAAAACGTCTTTATAAAAACAAATAAATAAAAATAAAAACAAAACAGAAAATCCCATAAAAGCAGGTGTAGTAAACACATAATGCAAAAACAACAGAAAAAATGGCTAAGCAAAAAAAGAATGGGAAAAATTTTTACATTCCACAAAAATTCAAAAGGACTACAGAATTCTCAAAATCGTAGCATGAAAACAGAATCCCATGACTGTGGTCCCAGAACTGAACATCTTAATGGAAGTATTAAGAAAAACGAATAAAATAAAATAAAAATTAGTACATGAATATCATGCACACCAAAGCAAATACATCAATTCCATGAAGGTACGTGTGAAATTAGTTGGGCATCTGGAATAATCAACAATATTATCCTAATAATCCTGCTATTATCACTTTCATTATATATATATACAAAAAAAAGTGCAAGACATTTGTAAATGCCATAGCCGTTTCAACTCTGCCACACACTAGATTACAGCATCAAACTCGGCAAAAAAAAAAAAGAACCACCAATGCCTACTTG